GAAGAAGCAGGCTTCCCGCAGAGCAGAGAGCCTGAGGTGGGGCTCATCCCAGGACCCTGGGATCATGACCTGAGCCGAAGGCAGACACTTAAGGACTGAACCACCTAGGCGCCCCGTATGGACATGTTTTCATTTCTTCTGGGTAAAAACCTAGCAGTGGAATTGCCGGTAGTATGGCTAGTTTATTTTTAATGTTACACAAAACACCCAAACTCTTTTCCTAAGTATTTGTACTAGGTTACATTCCCATAAGCAATTGCTCCACATTCTTTTCAGCATTTGGTATTGCCAGTCTTTTTAATTACAGCCTTTCTATCTAATGAGTTTGTAGTAGTATTTCATTGTGGTCTTAATTTGCATTTCCATAGGCTACTGATGTTGAGCATATAGCTTCTTTCATAAAGTGTGTTAATTTTTTACCCACTTAAAAATATCAGGCTGTCATTCCAATTATTGAATTGTAAAAGTTCCTTATATACTCTGGATTCAAGTCCTTTGTTAGATATATGTATTGCAAATACGTTCTACCAATCTGTGGCTTACCTTTTTATTTGTATGACAGTGTCTTTAGAAGAGCAAAAATTTTTCATTTTATTGAAGTCCAATTCATTAATTTTTTATTTTATGGTTCTTGATTTTTGTGTCTTAAGAGATCTTTACCTATTCTTTACTCCTTTATTTTTATTAATTAAAAAAAATAGTTTATTTATTTATTTGTCAAGAGAGAGAGAGCACAAGCAGGGGGAGCAGCATGCAGAGAGAGAAGCAAGCTCCCTGCTGAGCCAGGAGCCCGATGTGGGGCTTGATCCCAGGACCCTGGGATCATGACCTGAGCCTAAGGCAGACGCTTAACCAACTGAGCCACCCCAGCATCTTTATTTTTAAAATTTTTATTTTTAAGTAATCTCTTGAGGCTTGAACTCACAACTCCAAGATCAAGAGTCACACTCTCCACCAATTGAGACAGCCAGGTGCCCCTTTGCTCCTTTATTTTTAAAAGCAACTTTATTTATTTATTTTTAAGATTTTATTTATTTGACAGAGAGGGCACAAGCAGCAGGAGAGAGAAGGAGAAGCAGGTTCCCTGCTGAGCAAGGAGCCCAATGTGGGACTCGATTCCAGGACCCTGGGATCATGACCTGGGCCGAAGGCAGCCCTTTAACCGACTGAGCCACCCAGGCGTCCCTAAAAGGAACTTTATTGAGGTAAAATTCACAAAGAATGCAATTCATCCATTTAAAATGAACAATTCAATGTTTTTTTACTCTATTTAAAGATTTGTGCTACTCATAAACTACTCCTGTAACTTCTAATGGTCATTCATTGCCATACCTTGAGCCTCAGTCTCAGCTTCTGTAGTAAGCACTACTTTTCCATCAGTCATCCATGGCTAGACTTCTAGGAATTCCTAGATGTAATTCTCTTAGGCAATCTCAATTGTTCTCACCACTCAGCATTTCCCCAGGATTCAATCAGGTTGGTTTGATTACTATTGTAAGATCAGTGATCCCTTCTCTAATTTTCAACGTTACTGGCTCTCTCTTTTTGCTCCTCAAAATATTATTGTCACACTTCTATTATGGTAATTACCACACTATATTGCCATTTAATATTAAGTTTACATTTCAATCTTGACTAGACTCAATTTGAGGGAAGGAACTGTTGTATTCATCTTTGAATCCCTGTTGCCAAGTACTATCTGATGCCTAACAACATATATAGGCAGCACTGATGAAGTGTTAGCTGAACGACTCAAGTGAGTCAAATTAAACAAAAAAATCTTCCACCTTATAAGAGGCTTTATTCCTTGGAGTACACAGAAGATTCTTTAAGTTCATTTGCACTTATAGTTCAGTCTAGTTTAGATTTTGTCTTTTAATTTTTTTTAAAGATTTTATTTATTTATTTGACAGAGAAAGAGACAGCGAGAGAGGGAACACAAGCAAGGGGAGTATGAGAGGGAGAAGCAGGTCTCCTGCAGAGCAGGGAGCCCGATGCGGGACTCGATCCCGGCAC